ATAGCACCCTTATGTCCTGTGAAAACACTTGTGAATCATAAGCACAGTTCGCACTTAAGTATGTAAGTGCAGCGTTTGTGCTCCAGACATCAATGATTCCTCAAATCATGTGTTGTTGAGTACAGCTGCGATGTTGTTGTTTTAAGTGATCAGATGCACCATTTCCCCCAGCATGTTTTGCATGGTCAAACTCTACTCAGATTTCCTTCAGAACATGTAAAACTCAGAGAAGCACGTGTTTGGTTCCTCTAGGAGTGTTTGGCAAAAACAAAGAAGCTCAGACACACACGCTCTGTTTTTCACAGCTGGCGCGAGAGACGCAGCAACTGCTTAAAATAGTTCATCTGTTGTGCCAGTCCATACACACACACACAAACACACACACACACACACACACACACACACACACACTCACACACAGCGATCACGAGGAGCTCAGATAAACACAAATCACACACTCCATTCAGAAACAAACTGTGTTTTTTTATGGCCTGGCGTTTTGCTAACGTTCCCATTAAGTTATAAAAACATTATTTCTGAATGTTCTCTCTCAACAGTTTTTTTAATGTTGCATTAACGTTTATTTTTGGTTATGCAAACATTGAGGGAACATTCCATTTTATAATTTTGCAAACATTATGGGAACGTTACATCTGACTGTTCTCGGAACGTTCTGAAACAAGTGTAACATTTAAAAAACGTTAGATAACCGTCCAACTAAAACGTTTCAGAAATAAAACATTCCATGAACGAAGTATAAATAATGCTTTTCTGCTAATGTTTTGAGAACATTCTTAATAAACAGACCACTCTGAGTGAACGTTATATTAACGTTACTTCATACCTTTCAGAACCTTGCCAGAATGTTTTCAGCTAGAATCATTCAGCGAATCTCATAAAAACACATCCAATACAACAGGCTTCATTTGCTTTTTGAAAAATGTAATAAATTATTTCTTTCTTTTGATTAGAGAAATATGAGCTAACCGTTTATTTGATCTCATTTTAATATACCATAGTAATTCTGTTCCAAGAATGCTTTCCTAAAGTTCCCATTAAGTTATTAACATTATTTCTGAATGTTGTCCGAATATTCCAAACTTTTTTTTGTTTGTTTTTAATTTGAGCGTTTTGCACACATTATGGGAACGTTACTTTTGAATGTTCTCTGTGCGTTCTGACACAAGTAGCAACATTTAAAACATTTAGACGAATGTCCAACTGAAACATTTCAGAAAAAAACATTCCATCAACAATGTATAAATAACGTTTTGAGAACATTATTAAAGACAGATAACTCTGAACGAAGTTCTATACACGTTACCAGGAGAACATAACTTTGAGAGAAGCTTGCAAGAACGTCCTGAGAAGGTTTTCAGCTAACTGTTCTCAGAACTTTGGTTAACTTTTTGACCAATAAACTTCTCTGAATTTCCAAGACAATTCGTAACTATATGTTTTGCTAATTTGCATAATTCGTACAACGTCATCACGTTTTCGTACGATCTGCTTACACACTGATGCTCAGGTTTGGGGTGCAACGTTATGTTTACTTTTTTCCAAAAATCGTACATTTTCATGCAAATCACACTGTACAAATGTCTACAAAATCCCATAATATACTAACATTTTCTCAATGGATCAGGTTGGGATTTCTCTGTCAGTGATGATTTCTCTTCAATGACCTTCACAGGCATTTGCGATTACTGCATACAGATTTTTTACAAATTTTAATTTATATAAACTGAAAATGACTTGAAAATATTTGCATAATCAAAATGAAAAATCTGGACGCTGATTTGACCAATGCATCAAGAAGATCCAGCTCAATAGAGTGATTTATTTTGACAGCAAATGTTGCAATGGCTTGCAAACAAGTCTCTGCATATTTCTAGCAATGCACGGATTTAGAACTGAGCATAACTCAAATCTAAATCCATAATGGAAACTGTATTCACTTTTCTAGCCTGCAGAACTATTTCAGCCGTGTGTTCTTCTCACAGAATAGCATGGCACTGTCCTGGTTATTTTGATGCATGATGAGGTGGAGGTCACACTGGTCACGTGATCTCTGCGTGGCCATCTCCAAGTGCTTGGATTTTAAACTGGAACACTGAAGTGAACTTTAATTACTGCACTTAATAAACCCTGATAGCGTTCTGCTTTAGCTACAGCAAAACTAAACACGCGTTTATGAAACAACAACAACACAAAACTACGCGCCTTGGTTTAGCTAGACAAGAATAACACCGAGCGCTCAAACAGCAACTTCCAAAGTCTTATATAGATGTACTGTAACTTTATAAAACAATCTGTTGCTCAAACTACAGAAACCGCTCGTTTCGCTCAACGCGACGCGACCGCAACGCTCCTGATTACAGACGCGCCGCTCGCATTCAGCGTAAAGCAGGGTGCTAAAGAAAGAAAGAAAGTTCACAAACACACTTCTGTTGCACTAAATATGACGCGTTCTGGATATATAAGCTGATATATGTATAAAGCAGGGTTCTTACAGCACGCATAGCGCATACGCGCCGCTGACGCTCTCGCTGTCCCGCACCAGGAAACTCCCGTCCCGCGCGGCGCGAGCGAGCAGCTCCTCCGCCGCGGCGCGACTCAGATCCCGGTGATACCAGAGCGGCGGCGCGGGAGACGCGCCGGCCATCGCCGAACCCACACTCCACCGAAACACGCTCCGGATCCGCTGCTGACGCCGCACAGGAGCCGCGGGCCGCGCGCGTCACGTTTCAGAGTTTCTCCTGCTCCCCTTTTAGTTCCTGAAAATCCTCCATGAGAGAGAAAACACACATCCGACAGCAGGGACGCACACACACACACACACACACACACACACACACACACACACACACACACACACACACACACACGTCGTGTATGTGTGCTAGTGGCCGCTGGAGTCTCCAGTCTATTGTCCTGCGAGTCCCATCAGTTTAAGGCTCTTTAAGGCAAAGGACGGCACATGCAGAGCGATAGAGAAAGAGACAGAGAGAAAAAAAAAGGGCACATGGGGACTCTCCATAGGCGTAATGGTTTTTATACTGTACAAACTGTATTTGCTATCGATTTATGATTTATAAGCCTTTTGACCTCAATTTAGGTCCCCACCGTGACACGAGTCCCCATGAGTCTGTGTGTGTTCAGGGTTAGGTCCCCACCAGGATATATAAACCTGTACACACACACACAAAGTTATGAACAAACTTTATTTTTTAAAGTTATTTTATTAAATAAGTTATTTGTTTTTAATGTTCTCAAAACGTGCACAAAGACATTATTTTATACATCACTCATGGAAAGTTTTATTTCTGAAACATTTTAGTTGGACACTATCTCACGTTTTAAATGCTGCTACTTGTTTCAGAACGTTCCGAGAACATTCAAAAGTAACGTTCCCATAATGTTTGCAAAATGATACAATGTAACGTTTCCTTAACGTTCACATCATCAAGAAAATGATTTTAAAATGTTTTAAAAGATTTAAAATGTTTTTAAAACAGTTTAAACACTGGACATTTAAGTGTGTAAAAAGATCCTATGTATTTATTTATTTAGTGATAACTATTAATTTTAATTCATATTAATTTAACTACGAGGTTTACGTTTTTGAGAATGTAGTTTTTATATTATTTTATTAGACAATACAATAAAATAAATTGCATTTCATTTTTAATTACAAGATAACTTAGATTTACTGTTTTATGTTGTTGTTTTTATAGTGTGATGTTTGGTGAATTATAGGCTTATTGAATTTAATTATCATAAAGATCATAATGGTGTCACACTACAGAAGGAGTTGAAGTACCAACATCAGTATTGATAAATAAATAATAGATTTGTGATGTGGATTTTCTATCAGATCATGTCTATAAGAGAGAGAAATTACATAGAAAAAGAATCATAACTAGATTGTGTATGATGCAACTAGACCTTCTCATTACATTTGAGTGTTTTTCTGTCTGTTAAGCCGTTTGAACCGCACTTTCCTTCCTGAGAGCTGGCAAATGTGCACATCTCCATGAGAAGCGTTAAACGAGTAATAATCACTGCGGTTTGGCCATCTCTGGACTGTCGCTCCTAAACCTCCTGTGTGTTTCACAGCGCCACCTGTCGGTTCACTGACAGAACACAAGAGAACAGCTGGACATGCACTGGTTTACTTGCACCCCCTTGTTTTGTTTTGTTGTGTTTTTATTATGTTATTTATATTTTTGCATATTGTTTAATAAAATAAAATTAAGATGAATTATTTTATTTTATCATTTTTTTTATTTACAAATAATTGACATTTTAAATATTTTATTGTATTATATATTTTATTTTATTCCGTTACACAACATGCAATCATTTTATAATTAAAATAAAATAAATAATGAAATAAAAATGAAACAATTATTTATTATATTATTAGACAACATGCAATAATTGTGCAAAATAATATAAATTATTGTTGTTTTATTTTATAATTGTATTTTATTAGACAACATGCAATAATTGCATAAACAAAATAAAATAATTATTTTATTTTACATATATAATTATTGCATGTTGTTTAAAGTTCATATTTATTTTCAATAAACATTTATATTTTGACATAATATCTATATATAT